CTTGGGCAGGGTATCGCAAAATGATACAGTGCCCATTCGAGGACGTTTTCTGTGACTCCTTTCATGGGGTCGGTTTCATTTTATGACCTTACAAATGATTCGTTCTGGTCTCTGGATCCCGGGGAGTCTGCTGGGCTCCCCACCCCGTTCCCCCTTCTCTTTATCCTTGTAATTTCGTGCTCACCTCGCTGAGCCTTCTGTTTATTTACTGATTAATCCTCCCGACTCATGGCTTCCTATTTCATTCAGTGGGTCGTAATCTTTACTCTTATTTTCTTTGATACTCGAATGGCCCTTGACTTGGTGGGATACTCGGACCTGTCCTCGCTGTCCTGTCAGCCTTTCTTTGTTCCTGACACAGCAGGAGGCTCCAGGATTTTGTCCCTCTGGACCCAGCCATTTTCCCCCCAGGGAGCCGGTTCCTGTGGGTGGCAAGCGACGTTTGGGTCCGGTATTGGACGCCTGGTGCCAGACATCACACAACTCATGTCAGATCTAATCCCCATTGTGAGGTGGTAAGAAGGGGACAGCGTGGGTCCTTGAGTTGGTGACCAGGCTGTGGGGCTCTGGGCTCGGAGTGGATGAACGGGCCCATGGGTGAGCTACAGCAAGACCGCGTCTGTAACGCATGGTAGATGTCCTCAGCACACGACAGCTGTGTCACCTCAGGACCCTGCAGAGAGCCTGCCAGTGAGAGGGGCTCCCCAGATGTGTCCCCTCAACCTTGATGTCTTTGCTTTATAAATTTCCCAGTCTTGGGGTACTCAGTGACAGCAATGGAGGATGCGGGAGGCTATATGTACCGTGTCCCCATTACAGCTGACATTCTTGCCCTTTTGGTCTTTGTGGCTACTTTCTCCAACAGTGAGGAACCCGAGTCTCAAAGCTATGACATATTTACAGATGTGACCTGTCCCCTTGGGCGTAACCAGCCTCCCACATTGCCACTGTCCCACCCCACAAAGCCGCTCCTGGCTGTCGGCCTCGCATTCATTTTAGTCCACAGTAAAAATGAACAACCTGCTCCCACCCACTTCCCTTCCCAGGGCCAGCTTGCTTCAGAGGCTCTGGTCTGTGCGCTGGAGTTATTTATGAATCAATTCAAGGACTGCTTCTCTCAGGGAAAGTACTTGAACCCAAACAAAAAGATGCACGGCTCATTCATTTTATTTTCCTATGTATGTGAAGACACATGTTAATAGACATTTGGTTTATTTCCTATTTGTGGTAAATACCAACGCACAGTACTGCTATAAACAGTAAAGCGAATATTCACGCAACCATCAGGCAGCACTCTGGGAGCCACCCGTGTGCCTCTGTGGTCAACGGGTCAGTTTTTCTTTCTGATCTCTTCTCTTTGTGTCTTGCAGAAAAGCAGTAGCCAAACAAAAGGTGTTGGTGACTAACTATATTAAAGTTGGAAACTTCTGTTTATAAAAAGATGCTCCAGGCGCCGGTGGCTCTCGCCTGTAATCCTAACTACTTGGGAGGCTGAGATCGGGAGGATCATGTTTGGAGGTCAGCTAGGGCAAAAATGTTTGTGAGACCCCATCTTGATGGGAAAAAAGTTGGGTGTGGTGGATCAGGCCTGTCATCCCAGGGACGGGAAGCTTAAAATGGAAGATCAAGGTCCAGGCTGGCCTGGGCAAAAAGTGAGAGCCTCTGAGCAAAACAGCCAGAGCCAAAAGGGCTGACACAATGGCTTAAGCAGTTGGGCGCCTGCCTTGCAAGCACGAAGCCCTGAGTTTCAACCCCAATACCATTAAAAAGAAACAAAAAAAAAAAAAGAAAAGAAGAAGAAGAAGACATCACTGAGAGTGACAGGAGCTGCGGATCGGGAGCTGCTTGCATCTGCTGAACAAGCGACAGCCCAGAAGGAAAGAAATGGCCCAGGCTCTTCACAGGCGTTCCTCAAAAGGGGACATCCAATGGCCACGGAATGCATAAAAAAGACACTCAGCTTTGTCGCCGAGCAGGGAAGTATGAACTAAAACCACTGTTAAATACCCCCATGCATTTGTCTGAGTGGTTCCCATGAGAAAGACACACTCCAGCCAGTGTGGGGAGGACAGGAAGCCACAGGGACAGGGGCCTTGCTAATAGGAACAGAGGCACAAACGCTTTGGAAACTGTTTGTACCTTCCAGAGCCGACAACTGGTGACCCTCCTGACACAGCGGCCCCAAGAAAGGTGTCCAGATGTGTAGGGGCATTGTGGGAACGCTTGCCTGAGGTTTTCTCCCATAACTGACAGAACGGAAAACACCCAAATACTCGCGAGCAGCAAATATGGCCTACTCCTCATACCAGTATTAGTCAGGGGTGAAACCAATGAGCCATAGGAACACACAGCACAGATGAACCCATAGTCAGTGGAGGATGCGCTTAGCTTCTGTTTATTAAATTTTCCAAAAGCAAGAACTTGTTGAAAAGAAGACAGTGCTGGGCTGGGGGGCAGTGGCTCACACCTGTAATCCCAGCTACTCAGAAGGCAGAGATGGGGAGGATCATGGCCAGCCAGGGCAAAAAGTTAGTGAGACTCCATCTCAACCAACAAGCCAGGCAGCGATGGTGCGTGCCTGTCACCCTAGCTATGAGGGAGAGGCACATATATAGGAGGATGACAGTCCAGGCCGGCCTGGGGAGAAGTGTGAGAACTTACTGAAAAATAACTCAAGCAAAAATGGGCTCGAGAGGCAGAACACCCCTTAATAAGCGTGGGGCTCTGAGTTCAACCCCAGTACTGTCGAAAATAAAAATACCTGGATGACAAATAAGTGTAAGCATGCACAACTAGGTTGTAAGAACCTGCCCGAAGCCCTGGAGCTGTCTGCCGCTCACTCGTGGATGGGGCTGGGAGCACTTGCTTTTCCTTCACCCTTGCGGCTGGCTGGCTGGCTCTGTGGCAGGTCACTGGGTGAAAGGCCACCAGCCTGTGCAATGTCCTCAGTTTTGTGCTAGTTAACTTCTGTGCATTTCCTATGGGCTACGCGCCACTTTTGAGAAGTGTTCGTTTGGAGACACTTTCTTTCCCGCAGGTCACGGCTGCGAAAAGGACCTGTGTTTTCTCTCTGGTGGATTTCAAGCTTCGTGCCCCCTTTGTCTTTGGTGTCCGGCCCTGTCACTGTGACATCTGTGACTGGGGAGTTGTCCCTCCTACCTGGCGTCACTGGTGTTGGGTTTGTGGGCTGATGAGCTTATCAGCAGTAGAAATGTCCAATCACAGGCAGTCCCGTCCAGGCTCGTGGCTCTCTGCCACCCTCCTAGGACCCAGGCCTCTCTGTAGAGGCCACAAACCACCCTGGCTGCCTGTGGAGCCTCAGGCTCAGCAGGAGGATGTGGGGTGGGGGCCGATCGGTTTATCTGCCACTTTTTCTTTTTTTTTACGGTACTGGGGATTGAACTCAGGGCCTGGCACTTGCTAGGCAGTTGCTGTGACACTTGACAGTCCTGCCTTTCTCATTTCTGCCTCAAGGTATTTCTAGTCTCTGCCCAGCTCTGTCCTTTCCAGTCCTCTCCTTCTGAACTGGGGTGGACTAAGCAGACCAGTGGCTTGCTGTGGTCAGAGACATCCCTGCACACGCGTTCCTTGTGGTCACACCATCCCTGAGCCTCACTGCCTCCACCTGTCTGGCAAGTGATTGGCCAGAAGAACGTCCTGTCTCCGTGGTCCACAAGGCCAGGTCTCCACTCAGGCCACTTGTCTGCACTTCTGTCTTTAGTGTCTCAAAGTCAACCTCCTCTCCCACTCTTGGTCTGTGGCCAGTTGGTCAGTCAGTCCTGCCCCCAGCAGCTGCCAATCACCTCCTTAAGCTCCCCCCAAACATACCTGCCTGCACCAGCTTCGTCCCCTCTGTCCCCTTTGGGCCAGTCTTGATAACACCACTGGTGTAATGGGAAACCATGAGCTGCCATGTCTCTAGCTGTCAGCAGTCACTGGCCCTTGGGATCCGGTCCACCTGGCTTCCTGGAGACACAGGGACTGCCCACCCTGCATCAGAGTCCCACCATGGGACCGCCTTTTGCCTTCACAGGGTGGGGGCTCTGCACCACAGACCCCTCTGTCCACAGCCCTGTCCCTCTCCCACCTTGCCCCACTCCCTAGGTGGCCAGTGTCCATCTGTGGGCATCATTGCCTCTTGGACCAGCACAACTGCTGCCAGCCATATCTTAGCTGATCATCACTCTTGGGTTTTTTTGGCTAGGCAATGCTTTATTACTTGAGCCCCATCCCTGGTCCCTTTGGATTTAGTTGTATTTCCTATACGGTCTCATGGATTTGCCCAGGTTGACCTCCCACTGTCATCCTCTTACCTCTACTTGCTGAGATTACAGGGATACACCACCATACCCAGCTGATCTTGACTTTTAAACCACAACTTTCAGTTGACCTTTGCAGTGACTGAGAAAGGGGAAGATCATTTCCTCATCTTACAGTGAGCAAGGGTAATGAACCCCTGGGATGGAACAGAACTGGCCGGGATCCATGTCACTGCTGTGTGCTGCCTCCCAGGTCAGCTTGGTTTTCCTCACTCTTGCCTTCAGCCAGGGTGAAGTTCCTGCTGCACACTGTCCCCTTCCTCTCTCTCCACAGAGGCTGCCTGAGCCCCTGGGAGCTCTGTGTGGGGTGCTCTCCACTAAAAAAGCCCATTGTTTCTGTCTTACACAGAAGACTGCCTGCATTCTAGAGCAGACCTCCTGCAAAGTCATCTGGATCACCAGCTGGTACCTGAAGGAGGCCCCCAGACCTCCAAGTGACCCCATGCCCTACCCAGAGCATGGCCAGAAGGCTGGTTGAGCTGGACAGGTATTTATTGAAAGTTCACAGATACAAGAGCTCTGATCGGGGTCACAGCTTGGAGGGGGTGGGGTTAGGGGGAAAAGGACGCCCCAGATGCTGGCAGCCCCCATCCTGGGAGCTCCCACATAAGCCCTTCTTGCTGGATGTCTGAGGAGCCCAGGAGCCTGGGCAGGGTGACAGGGAGTAGGAGGGTAGCCACCAGAAGCTAGGGCAGCAGCGTGGAAAAAGCCCAGGGCCCCAGAGACAGGCAGGGTGGGGACAGGAGGCAGACGGGGTGGCTGGAAAGAGCTCCCTGCTCCCGTGGGCACTCAGCTTCCAACAGGCTTGCTGCCGGTTCACAGCTCTGGGGTCCCCGAGTGGGTGCCCACTCTGCCTGACCCTCATGGTACCCTGCCTCTCAGAGACCATGCAAATAGTCTCAGGGCTTTGTCTGCACAGCCAGCGGGGCCTGCGAGCCTCAGTAGTCGGTGAGGGGGTACCTCAGGAAGATGAAGACGAGGATGATGCAAGAGGCCGCCAGCGCGGAGCTGGCGATGTTGAACAGTCGGGCTGTCTTGGCGTCCTCCACGGCCCCGTTCAGATCATTCAGGAGCTTCTTGTCCCGCACCTGGAGCCGGAAGGAGGAGGCAAGACAGTGGTTAGCACAGGGATGGAGAGAGAGTGGCAGAGCAGGGGCATAGGAGTCCTGAGGCCTCTGGGCCAGTTTCCTGGTTGTGACAGCCATCTGGCTGCTGTGTTAGAACATGACCTTACTTTGGGGATGTATTTAGGGTGTCATTGTGAAACTTACCCTCCCCTAGGTTACATGACAAGTCCTACAAAGAGAGAAGGAAAAAGGAATGGGGACAATGTTAGCATTTGGGGCTTCTGGGTGAAGGATGCTCAGGAATTTGTGGGTTTGTTTCATATTTTTCTGCAACTTCTTGGTGAGTCAGAAATGACCTGAAATAAAAGAGGAAGGTGGTCTCAGCGAGAGTGACTGGAATATGGTGGCATCTGTGTCCTGATGTGATGAGTCCCGGCTAACCAAAAAATAACTGGGATGCCTGAGAGTGGCACCTGGAGGACAGGTGCAGTCCCTGTGACCTCTGGAAGGGCTGTAAAAGTGGAGGAAGGGGTGGGTGGGGTCCAGGGCACCCTGAGGAGACAGGAGCAGAACTACACCATTTCCAAGAGGCCACGGTAGTCCGTAGTCCGTGGCACGTCCCAGGATCTCTATCTCTCTCTCTGTCTCTCTCTCTTCTCCCTCTCCCTCTTCCTCCATCCCCTCCTCCTCCTCTTCCATCTCCTCCTCCTCCCCCTCCCCTTCTATCTCTTCTTCCTCCTCCTCCTCCCCCTCCTTCTATCTCCTCCTTCATCTCCTCCTCCTCCTCCTCCATCTCCTCCTCTTCCTCCAGAGTGTAGTGATGGTGGGCTGGGCACTTGCAGTAAGCAGAAACCAGAGCCTAGGAGGAAGGGAAGGGAGAGAGAGGAAGGGTAAAAAGGATAAAAAGTCTTTGCTTAGTCATGGGCTCGTTGAAGGATGGCAGGCGTGCAGAGAGATGGCTGGACTGGCTGATGCCCAGATCACCTGGTGGAGGGTTAGGCAGGTGCGTGGAGACATGAAGAGGGGTGTGCAGGAGGATGAATGGGTGGGAAAGGGGCCTGATGCACACATGGGCAGAAGGATGGAGGCTGACAGTGGGGAGGGACAGTCCTGTGAGTGGACGGAGGGAGGAAAAAGGAGCAAAGGGAGAGGAGGAAAGGCATGAAGGCTGGAGATGCAGTGGGGAGGGAGAGGGAGAATGAAAAAGAGTGGGGTGGGTGGGGTAGGAAGATAAGATGGAGGGAGGGGGAGGGAGAGCAGGCTGGTGTATGGCTGTCACTGACTTTGTCTTCCTCCTGAGAAAGGAGGCAAGTCACCCCTATTAAGTTTCCACTATTTGAAGTCTTTGTTCAAATTAACTTTTTTATAACTTTCTCCAGAAAGACTGATTTCATCTTTTGCTGGATTTGGTCTTTGCCTCTTTTTCAATTGCAGTGTAAAATCACATTTTGCTAGTGCGTGGATGTGTGACATTCTTGTAGGACAGGCCACACAGCTAAACTCTCACATTGCCGTAACTGACCACGTGTTCTCCATAAGCCATCATCAAAAATCTGCTGCACACTCAGCAGCTCCTGGCCATCCTGTCCCCACTTAGAACACGGAGCATGACGCCAGAGACTCGATGGTGGACCTTGGTTCTGCAGGCACCCAGCAGTGACCTCAGGAAGTTAAGGGACTCTGCTGGCCTCTGAGCTCTCATCTGTGGCCTCATAGAGCCAAGAACACTGAATTGCAGACAATAAACAGCCTCGTCTCACCCTTCATCTTCTCTCTCCGGAGGCTAGAGGTCCAAAACTAAGGTGTCAGTAGGGTCAAGTTCCCTCTGAAACACTTTGTGGAATCTTTTCTTGCTTCTACTGGTATTTCTTTGGGTGGGGGCATCATTTTTACTAGTGCATATTAATTGCACAAAGTAATGAGTTTCACTGTGACATTTTCATGCATGTATATAATATCCTTTGATCACATTCACCACCATTACACTTTCACATCCCCCTCCTTCTCCCACTACTCCTTTCCTCTTCCTGAATAGCAACCCTTCTACTCACCCTTGCCCTTGATGCTTACCACAAGGCATAACACACATTTCACGATTTAAGGTCCCATGAGATGAACACGGTTTCCTCCGTGTGAATGCAGGGTGGGCTGCATTCACGGCACTCCTCATTGTAAGGCAGCTCTGAATTCCTAACGTAACTCTGGGTCATGATTTCTCTGTTGGATACGTGGCATGAGGAAGAAAGGAGTGGCAGAGAGAGGCACACGCACAGGATGTTGAAGGTGGATGGAGAAGGGGAGGGAAGAAAGCTGGAAGGCAGCGGGGTACCGGGTGGATGGGGACTGGTGACTGGTCGTAAAGTAGGCAAAGGAAAAGGAGGAGTGGGGAGGTGACTGGACTGGAAGGAGGTGAGCAGACATGGACCACACGCACAGGACAGAGGGATGTGAGCTGGGTGGGAGGGACAGCTCGATGCATATGTGGACTCGCACTGGATGAGTGAGATGGGTGGGTGAAAAGATTTGTAGTGAAGGCCACATGGACAGGACAGTGCTCAGGTGGGCATTGCAGGTGCATCAGAGGTGAGACAGGCAGACAGGTGAATGCGTGATAATGTGTTGGGCTCACGGGAGAGGTGGCTGATGGACACAGGACTGTTTAGCAGATGAGGGGATGAATTTTTGATTTTCTGCTAAATAGCCAGGGCAGGGGGGTAGGTGGTGCCTAGATGTATGCTGGATGGGGGGAGCAGGTGCACAGGTAGACAGCTTCATGTATGTCAAACGGACAAAAAAGACAGGTGTGAAGTGTGTCTCTTGGGTAGCACAGGTGAGCCAATGAGTAAATGGACATATAACTGTGCTGGATAAAAGGGACAGGTGCTTGGATGGAGACCAAAATTTGGTTGGGGAGGTTGGGCAGATGGACAGATGGATTTGCGAGTGGCTGGGCGGCTAGGGCAGGTGCCTGGGACATCATTGGGACAGGCACCTAGGTGCACACGCTAGGTGGTGGAACAGGAAGGTAAGTAGACTTGTGGTCACAAGTTGCACAGGTGGAACAGGTGGAGAATGTGCTCAGTGGATGGTAGATGGAGACAGATTTGTGAGCTCATTCAGTCAATCAATCCATATTTCTCCAGGGCCTGCTCTGCAGTCCTGCGTGTGATACGAGGACTGTGGAGGTGCTGTTGTAGGTCCTGGGTGTGTAACAAGGAGCAAAATAAACCCTCTGTTTACAGTCAGGGCAAGAACACTGTAAATAGCACAGTCAGTAAGAGATCAATGTGTTAAGCATGCTAAAAAGAAACCTGACGGCCATGGGCGCACAGTGCTGGGGGAGGCTCAGTCTTGGCTGGGTGGCCAGCTTGCTGAAGACCAGACAAGGGGAGTCTTTACTCCCATTTCCTGCATGGGGAGCAGGAAACTTTTCTCCCCACTTCTCCTTACTTTATCCTGTTATACTAAAATAAATCCGTGCTAAAACTTCTTTTTAAAAAGACCAATGGGGGAGGGGGAATAAAGAATGATGGAGGGGATGATTTAACGATGATATATTGTAAGAAATTTCATAAATGTCTCAATGCACCCCCAGGACAACAATAACAAAAAGTAAGAAAATGAAAAGATAAGCCAATAAATACCGGGCAAGGGTGAAAGGCTCGGTCCCATGTTACCGGGCGGAGGTGTGTCAGGCAGGGTACAAGCTCTACGGAGGGGTTCCCAGTGTGCCCAGGGCAACCAGAGGCCAGTGCAGGAGGGCAGAGCACAGACAAGGAGAGGGTGAGGGAGGGCTGCCCAGGAATGGATTGTGGGGCTCTGGGGGGCTTTTCAGAGTGATTTAGAAGTGCAAGGAACGGGCGGTCTGAAGTATTCTAGCATGGTGACTCTGAATATCAGGCAGAGGGGACTATCCTGTCCAGGAGGCAGGAGAGAGGAGAATCACGTAATAGTCCCGGTGGGAAGGTGGCATGGCGGGTGGGAAGATGGAGCTCTTTCTAGACACACATCGAAGGTCGAGCTGACAGCGTTCTGTGGGGTCAGTGCAGATAATGACAAGAAGACTGTGACTTAAGATGACTTCTAGATTTTGGTTTGATCAGCAGAAAGTGAACTGCAGAAGAGTGTAGGGGGAGCAGGTTTGGGGCGTTCTGCAGTTCAGTTTCTGACACGAGTTAGAACTGCCTTCCAGACATATTGCTAGGCATGTTGAGTGCAGTCTGAGTCTGGAGTTCAGAGACAAGGTCAAGGGCACAGCTGAGTCTGAACATCTGAGAGGCACCAGCACAAACACGGTAGGTCTGAGCCTGGGTGGGACACCAGGGAAGGGCATGTCAACAAAGAAGAGGACCCCAAGTCAAAGACCAGAGAGTCAAAAGCAACCAGGAAAAAGGCCTGGGCAGAGTGGGCAAAGAAGTGGGAGGAAAGCCAAGGATGGCACGGATGGAGTAGGGGACGGGGACAAGAAGGTGGAGGAACAAAGACAGAGCAGGTATGTGTGGAAGTGCGGTAGCACAAGGAGTGAGACGAGCAGGCTGTTTATGGGGAAGTAGATGGGGTGGGGACACAAGGGCACAAACTGCAAGCTGCAAGAGGTGATGGGCGCAGTCTCCTTGCAACCAACTCCTACCGCGCTTCTCACCTGTGTAAATGGCGGGCCCATTTTTTTGGTCACCAGCTGAATACCACTCAGCAGTACTTTTCATTCAGACTGTACAGACAGCCCTTGTATCTGTGGGGTCAGCCAACTTCAGAGGGAAATATTTGAGAACAAAATTGAATCTGCACTGAACACTTTCCTAAACAATTCAGCAAAAGTACTTACAGAGCATTTCCATTCTTTTAGGCATTGTGGATTATCAAGAGATGACCTGAAGAACATGGGAGGGTGGTGTAGCTTACGTTTAAGTGCCATACCATTTTACAAAGGGGACTTGAGCATGGGGGTCCTGGAACCAATCCCTGGGGACGGGGATGTCCACTACCCTGTGTGCTGGAGCCTTGGTAGTGCAGAGTGCTTT